AGAGGAGAACGGGTTTATCAAACGTTGCAAGCCGAAAAACAGTTTTTTTACACAATAACCCCTCTCTGAAAAATTTTCTGGTTGCGTACTTGTTATGAATACTATCAATACATTTACGATTATTATTTAAAAAGAATATTCAATATATAAAAGAAAACAAATAAAAAATAACTATTTATAATTAAGCAGTCGATGAATGAGACTTTGGTGCTACAAATAATCGTGTATTAAATCGTTGTTTTGATACTTTAAGTATTTTAAATTTTTGTTCACAACCAATAAATATTAAAATGAATACTAATTGAAAACCAGCAAGAACGAAGAAATAGATATAAAATAAATCTGGTTGGTTTTGAGCTTTACACTATTGATGAAAAAATAGAGAATGAAATTATTTTAAAAGATTCTTACGTCTGAATTATCGAAAGTAAGATTTTCTTTAACTTTTACAAATATACCAATATATGCAGAACCAAAAAATGATGAAAGACCAGCTGAACAAAATCGTAGACTCATAATCAAAGATTGTGCAGATCGTGGTGCAGCCAAATATGCAAATTCTAGACTAGCAACTGAAGTAAATACTTCAGATAAACCTACACCAATATACTGTGGAAATTGATAAAATATAGACATATCAGCAGCAGTATAATTTGTCTTGCCTAAACATACAAAATTCAAAATATGAATAAAAAAAAATATAATTCTTTATTATATACCGATAAATTGTGAAATAGTTGGTTGTGAATCACATAATTTTTGACGAAATAATTCAACAGTACCTGCCATACACATAGCAATAGTTGCTGAAATCATACCAATTATAATACGAGTTCTAATTGAAATGGATCGTCCACTTGCTTCAAGACGTTTATAAACGAATGTATTGAGAAAAAAGATTGCAACTAGATAAAAGATTATAATATAAGTGACTAGCCTTATTATTATGATACTTACGAATAATAATCATTTGATCACCAAGTGAAAGCCAAATAACAGGCATATAATGATCGCCTCTGTCTGTACGAAAGAATTTGATGACTTTCATATGTACACCTTGTACAAGAAAAGTTGTTTCAATCTAAGTTTTAAAAATATTTTCATTTTTTCATTATGAATATATTCTTACTTGAAAATATAGAAGCCAATATGGTATTAAAAGAAGAAAAACAATAATAATACGTCGAAGTGATTTAATATCCTCTACTACACGATCAAGAAATTTTCCTTGATTAGATATTTTTGCATAATCTAAAAATGACCATGATTGTCCACTTGTTGTTAATGATAATTGATCACTATTATCAATTCGATTTTCTGATAAATTTGATGAATTTGAATATCGTCGAGTAGAAGATAATATTTGATTATTTCGTCGATGTTTTCTCCAATTTTGAAAAGCATTAATTAAAACAGGAAGAAAATTACTAATTACTGAATCATGTGGTTGAACATGAATACAAAATTTATAACCAATTAAAAATAATATTAAAGCTATTATAAGTAATACTGTTGGAATAATATAACCAATAAAATAACTATCATTTTGTTGTCCATATGCAATAAATGCAAATGCAATAAGACCACCTGTATTAACAGCAGCATAATATTTATCAAAATATTGTGTTGTTGCTTTCTGTTCTCGAACTTGTTCAGCACCAAATACAGCCATATTAGCTTGTACTGCACCAACACCAATTGCACTATATAAAATAAAGAATTGTTTTATTCTTATTATTAACTATACCAACTTACGTAAAAACTAATGTAGAAAGAACTTGAGGAAGACATTCTTCTTGAAAAAATTCAATTGTTTCAGATGTCGTTGAATTAGCAGTACCACAAAATATACTATATAATTTATATTGATCATTATCGGAAAATAATGAGATAAAGATATAACCAATAATATACAAAATAAAACCTATGAAAATATATTATTGAAGATTTTATAGTAAATGAAGTATATATGTCACAGGAGAAATTCAAATCTAGCAGAATTTAAAACTTCCCTAGGGCTATGGCGTATTTAGGGGGGAGTGGGTGATTACCACTCCCACCCCCACCCCCATTTCGAATTTTTTTAATTTTTTACAGCAAAAATAGGTTCACACTACTTCGATTGAACTCGAAAAATAGCTCTTAGCCAAAATCGTCCCCCCTCTCCTTCCGAAATCCTAGATCCGCCACTGTTTCTCCTGTAGGAGAATTTTAAATTCTCTTGGATTTTAATTTCTCCTGTAACATATATATATTTTACCAATAATGATAGTTTTTGCACGACCTAATTTTCCATCACTTATCCAAGCAAATACAAGTGCAGATATATAACTTGTACCTTAAAAATATTTTTTGCAAAAAATAAAGAATTTTTTTATGAATTTAATTTCTTTTACCAAGGAATATAAATGAAGCAATGACACTATGAAGAGGTGTCCAATGAATATTATCTGATGTCAGGAAAAGAACAAGATTTCCCGCTAATGAATAAAATGCTAAACGTTC